TTTTTCCGTTTTATTCGATGCCCAACCCTATCGGGCTCCAACTCCTTAACCCCGCCCAGGTGCCTTCTCAGAAGGTGGTTTGATAACATGCGAAGCTGGTGTGAAAAGATATTCCATGCCAAACCTACTTAAGGACCCGCTCGGCAACACCAAAGGGCGCAGGCTTTAGAGGTTTATATGGAAATAACTTGATCACAGACTCTCGGGGCGGTGTTTCGTCAAGAACCAGGAATACAGAGGTCATTGAAGATCCAGCTGTCTTGAAACAATGCGCATGCCGTGCATGTGGCAGTCTCCCGGCAGGTGTGAATGAAGATGAACATGAAGATGAAGGCCACAATTTGCCGAGGGCCGCGAGAGGGCCACAATCCAAGTTTCATGGTCGCCCTGGCCTGTGAGTAGATGCGAAAATGGTGTTTCTTTAGATGATGCGACAAAGAGGAGAGTTGGCCTATTTGTTCCTTGACTGTGTTGGCGTGTAACATATATATTCTTGAGAAGAAAGCAGTTGAGTTTCATCGTTTTCTTTTTGTTCCTCGCCCACTTCTTCGTATTTTGATTTGTGTGGTCTTTCGTATCTAACCTCCAGCATCTACAACAACTGGAGGCGGCAAAAATTATTCGGTAGGTAGTTTGAACAGGCCAGGCTCAGAGGCAAAAGACGCAAACAACGGGGAATTGTTCGCTCAAGGGATCTATGATTATTTGTGCTGCCAGAAGCAGTATAGAATATTACAATATTGATTGAAGTACCAAGGCAACTACCAGCGTCTATGTTCAGTGGAAGATACTTGGAACGGGCCATCAAGGGGATTCATCAAATCATACGAAATTGATTGGGGGGATTTAAGATGGATTGTGGGGTCGATCTTTTTCACATCATTTGCGGGCACTGGCCACTAGACTCCAGATCCTTTTGAACCGAACAAAGATCTCTTGGTCACACATCATCCCGAAAACCAGACATCACATGTCATGACATCACCAACACATTGGACTCATTTGGACCCAGACATGATGTCTTTTCCACAAGACCTGGAGACTTTGGCCGGATTACCGTTCCTTCTCTATGACATTCACCACCCTCACGGCATGCGCCAAACCAGCGAGGCAACGGCCTTGAGAAAGCTCCTGCGCCACGGTCTTATTGGCTGCAGTTGGGATCTGAGAAACTCGGCCGCTTGAAACGGCAGAACAGGCATGGAACAGGCTGAAGCACTGAAGGACCCTGTTCCGTTGCAGAGTTCGACGCCTTCAGGAGAACAAGAAGGTCGGTAGGGTGGTCGAAGCGACAGACTTTGGCTTCAGCAATGAAGCAAGGAAGAGATTGAATCCTAAATCAACCACACCCTGTTGAAGAATACACGTCGTAGTATAGCCAGCAATCCAAAGAGAGTAACGTAGCATGAGATGTGTATATCGGGACCACAGGCTGTATCGGATCCTTCAACAGATGGATACGGATTGTTAGCCCGACCCCTTGTCATGTCATCATGTGCTGTTGTTGCTGCTGTTGTTGTTGTTGTCGTCGTCTTCTCATGTTCTTGGAGTGGCCTCTCCGACTGAAAGCTGCCGAGGTCGGCGATTGACTTTTTGGGTCAGCCCAGCGGTCCGCACTTGGTCCATGCAGCAAATTACTGCGACGTGGTCGGCAAAAGAGAAAGACATGATTGCACTGGGTAGCACTGCTACTAGCACTTCTTGTTCAGTTTAAACTTTAAGCAGTTCAAACTCCTTGAGGTTGTAGTTGGGTCAAAGGTGGTGGTGTGAAAGTTGCGTACAAAACAACACACAGCACCTTTGAGTTGGCCGGTCACGAGGGAAAGTTGAATTGTCTCGTTGACTGCGATGGCCTGCTCCGAGAATATCCAAGACAATTTCCACGACATGTGCTGCTCCCATGCATGATTTTTTTAAGCGGGTGTCGACGAGGCTGCAGGGGGAGAGAGAGAGAGAGAGAGAGAGAGAAAGATTCTGCACGGGGAGGAGAATTGTGTCTGAAAATGACCATGACTCGAGGATCAAACAAGGCATAGGATCGAGGCAACCAACAAGCCAATGGATCTAGGCAACTACAGATGTTTGCTTTCATTGAAGCAGGGGGACTACAGCAGGTGAGGGTATTATTGTGTTATATTGTCAAATTGTGTTTAATTGTTTTTATATGGAAAAGACCACTATGATATGCCCATCTCTTGTGCGCCAACACTTCCCACAGGTCGCCAAAAAGGTCATGCCGTGGAGCGCAAAGTGGCATATTATAAAGGATGCCCCGATTTGCGTGTGTAGACAGGATCTCCAACTCAGACTAAAGATGGGTCGGCAGTCAACGAACGAACACCTCATATCACCCTTGGCGCCCGGTTCATCATTGTTCTTAATTATATTGATCAATTGTCATTGACATTCATTGACTACATTTCACGACTGCTTTCCCCTCACGAAATCTGAGCGGCGCTGAGGTCCATCTTTTGGAGGGCCACATGCCTGAGAGCTGAGGGTTCCTGGCGCTTCACGGGTTTCCGAACCGAAGGGTCCAGACACGAACCAATGGAAGGGTGCACAGAACAATGCTTCAACCTACCGGTTGGAAGGTCCCCGCACTTCTTTGTTGAACATGAAAACGACAACACTTGCATGGAGTTTCTTTGTTTTCATGGCATCTCATAGGGTTCAGGAGTTCCAAGCCAGCAGACTTGATGTGGCGCGTTTGGTGGCGCCTTTGGCAGATAGTGAAGCCTATATTATATGATTCTACATGTGTTCATGCTGGATCTGTGGATGGTGGATGGGTGGTGGAACTAGCACTAGAAGTTTCACTGTTTGTGCAATACTCCTCCACAAGTGACGTTGCTTTTGGAAGAAATCCTGCACTAGACCAGCTGAAATGTCTACTTATCCAGGTGCTTTGCGAGACTTGGTATAGAGTCAATTTGATCGAGTTTTCTGGAACCGAACGTGGCCCTCCAATAAAGTTATTGTAGCTGTTTGGCCCTTCTTCGGTTTTCCCACAATCGTCGAACAGTTTTGACCATACGGCTTCGTCTCAGCAAGTGCTTGCTGAGTTGCAGCCATACAGCTTCGTCTCACAATGTGGATGAAACAATCAATGAGGTTTTTGGTTCCACACAGCCGGTGATATATATTATATAGTCCGTGAGACAAGGCCATTTTGGGCGACATAAGGTTGCCAGGAGAGACTCCTCTCCTAAAGGGAATAGGGTCTCCTTTGCACGCTTTTTTCTTGTTAGCAGCCATCCCTACTACAAGCATCGTCATGCAGAACCTGTCGATGTTTATCTTTGCTGAAGCCTGAAGCAACTTAATTACAACTGAATTGGGTGCACGCGGGGGTGCCCAAGGCGCCCACATGCCTGTCCGATTGATTTATGGACAATCCAATGCGCGCCGTCCTGCATGCGCACAGTTTGGGACTTGCTGACTTGCCCTTACGCCTGTCCACACAGGATACCAAATCCTTAGTTTCCAATTACTTCACACAACCGGACAGATGCATCAGATACTGACTGCTCTGATCGAATGGTTCTTTACGATGCATAAATTGTTCAACTCCATTCTGGATGCTGGATCTTGTCGTGGAGTACAATTCAATCGTTTAATCAGTGGAATATGGTTTGGGTGCTTGCTTTTCTATCTTTGGTTGGCTTTAGCAGAACAAGAACCTAGGCACAATGAACTCCACGCAACCAATACAGTATCACAAGAGATGCCACAGACCACGATTGAGCCACTAACTCAATGCATATCAGGATTTGTCGTGCCATATGTGCCTAAATAGTATATCCAGGTATATAGTGTCTTGGCTGGTGGGGTTCCCTGCGGGATTTGTTGGGTTTTGTTAGTGGTTTGCAATTCTGCCCGTGCGACCTAGGTTCTGTTTGGTTTCTTTGGACTTGGCAAGTGGATTGCTTGCTGTTTGATCTTGTTCTTCCCCGCCCGCCCACACCTTTAAGGGCGACATGGTGTCAGCTCTGAGGATTCATTTGTCAGCCTTGATTGAGCTGTTTGTCTTGTTTGTCTCATCCCTCTGGGAGACGCGCCCGTCACACGATGGGTGCGACAGACATCGCCTTCGGTGACCGAGACGGGCGAAGGATCGAAGGATCGACGGCCGCCCATTTGGCTTGAGAAATCCGCAGCACTCCACGTGATTCGGAAGGCGAGGCAGGACGGAGCTGAGACCAGGACTCACGTGTTTCTTCGTCGAGAAGCTCCCAGTTTTGAAGATGAATGAGCGGTTGATGTTGGCGAAGAGATCAAGTTCGGTTCAGGGATTCTGGATTCTTGCTCCAAATGCAAGGGTTGTGTTAAAGTATATTAATATATATATATAAGTATACATAACTACATATCAAAACCATGTGAACCACAGCTTCTTCTGCAGATGTGTTGAGCTTGCTCAATTCACGGTTTGGAATTAGGTTTTGCGTTTAGCTGGTGGCGTGCTGCAAAGACATGGTACAAGATTTGTACAGACGATTGAGATAGAACATATAATGATAGAATCATCATGTCACTGAGTCTGAACTTGTGGATCAGCAGGATGACGTTTGCCAGGGGCTGGCATTAAAGGGGTCAAGTTTGGGGGATGTTCAGCATCTTTGCTGGGACCTTTGCCTTTGTCCTGTCCGATACGGAGCTAATGCATACATGAGAAAACAAAGGACCATGAATCCTTTGCAAGTGTTCCAACAAGCCACTCACTTCAGGGTCTAAGTGCCAACTTGTGATCTGACGACCTGCAGTTGCAGGCTTCCAACATGAGGTACACTTCTGACCTCGTACGGGCAAACACGTCAGATGAATTGGACCCTCATCTAAACTAAACTGGTCAACCTAGACCGTCAGACCTAGTTTGGTTGTTCTTTGGGTTGTTATGGATCTGAATCTAGACTGGCCAGACGGCGCTTGTGCTATCGACTGAAACCACTGTAAACTGAAAATGAAGACATGACAACTCCCTGCAGGCGCCTGCAGCCATGTCGCTGCTTCCCGGGCAGGCAAGGCTTTCTTAGCTGGTCTCTGTTCGGATTGGCTTAGCCGGCTTAGCCTGTAGATTCTGGTCTTTTTTTTGTGGTATCCGATATCAATGAGTGGGAGTTTGCATGAGTTTGGTGTGGAAACTGCCATGGAATTGCACCCCAGGCGGTTTTTCAAATCAAGCCCTCTTCCGCCAAAGAAGGTGGTTTTAAACACTCAAACTCAACTGCACCCAAAGCCCAAACGACTATAGCCTTCTGGCCGCCACTTGATTCCAATTCCAATTCCTTTCACCTCACCCATCCAAACCCCAAACAATAAACTACTAGGATCCCGGTTTTCCGAGGCGCCCACCAAGCGGTTGAGACTCGATGAATCAATGGCGCCCTCCGGCTATGCCGGTGGCATCGGCTCGGGAAGCCCGGATCGGAGAGATGACCAGGATCAGAGGGTGTTCGGGACGAATCATGTCCATTTGTTCCAAGAAATCATCCAAAAAGCTTGGCTTAGAGACGGTTAAGTACGGTTCTTCTGCCAGCCTGTCAAAGAACGGTAGAAGTACCGGTACAAGCGTTGAAAGCGGCGTTCGGACCATCGAGTTACTACTAAACGCCCTCAGATCGACGAGTCGATCCGTGGGGAAAGCACCTGGGGAGTCGTGTCGCTTGGTGGAGGATTGGGGATTTGATTGATCATTGCACCATATTTGCTCTCAATGTCTAACTTCTGGGAACTTCAAACTTGTAGATGATTCTTGGCCTACCAGGTTCAGGATGCCTCTCATGCCTCTCAAGCCTTTGCAATTCGCTTCTTCTGGGCTTTCTGACCAGAAGACGATCAGGTCGTGGTGCGAAGATTCCGATGCAGACCCGAGCAGACATGGGGATGCACGTGGGGGTCGCCCAGTTAGTCCGGCAGGGGGAGGTTGTGCAGACCGTTGGTATATGGCAGTGGGCGTTCATCTGGGAACGCCATGACTGCTAACGTTAAAGCCTGCTACTGTAGATGCAAAAGGCATCAAAACACGAAAGCAAGAACCAATTGCTGGAAGAAGCTGCATATGTTTTTCACGAATATCGGCGGCGTTGGAGGTGTTGGCTTCTCGGATGGCAGCACTGGGTCATTGAAAATGCATAAGGATCAAGAAACAGCTACTCCGGGTGAAGGAGACCAAACCTTCAACATTGTGTGTGTGTGTTGTTGTTGTTTCTGTTTGTGTTTGTTTTGTGCAGATGAAGCTGTTCTTGACACTGGACCACGCAGCATAACTGCCACCATGCAGCATTCATCGTGTCCCGACTTGCTGGCACCGCTGCCCAGACCGCAGTGCCCACCAAGCGCGGAACCGATGCCATGTTCGGAAATGCGCCTCCAGGGCACGGGGGCCCAGTGGGCCCGGACCTGTGTGACGGTCGGGTCTTGAAGGCGATCACTGCTTCGAAGAAAAGGGATGATGTTGACACATGTTGATCATCCTAAGACGGTCCTAAGTTGATTGAAAGGAGACCGTTTTGAGGTCAGAGAAGTTTGAGGACATGTCCTTGCATGGAGTTTGTACCATGCGCATGTGCAGGTTTAATCTTGGCAGTCTTGAATGATTGCAGCACTGTCATCAGTGGGCTTCCCTGGACATAATCCAGTGTGCACCACAATGCATCCAAAAAGTCCAGGAGAATCAGTGATGTACTCGGTCTTCGCATTTTTTGAGACGATTGATCAACAAGCTCTATGGGAAGATCAAGTGAAATCGATCGGTCAACGACGCAGTGCTCACCAAGCCTCTCGCCTGGCTAGATCTTGTTCCAAGGGGTGACACTTCCGGTCCTTGCCTACACATATGACCTCAAAGATTCATTCAGGAAAACACAAAGGACACACAACTGATTATATCCATTCAATTGAAAGCGACATCATGAGGGTTTAAGGTTACAAATAGTTCTCGTTAAGAGCCTTAAGAGTTCTCCCTTATACAAAGAGGACCTTCACTTTGGTTTAGAAACAGCTCCAGGTCTAGTTCCAGTCTATGTAGGTCTGTGATCTTCAGGTCTGTAGGTCCCTTGTTGTTTTGCTAGAACGCTCCAGGTCTGAGACAGGTCAAACGTAGACCGTTCGCAGGTACGTCCCAGGTCGAGGACGTGGCGCCACCGGTTTCATTGGCGGCGTGAGTCGAGACGAGGCACAGGGCGTAACGACATCGCTGGGTGGCGGAAAAAATGTAAAGATGTGGAAATATATGGAAATGGACCATGGAAACTAGGGTTCCTGAATCTATAGACTTTAGATGAGCTTGTTTTTGGAGCTAAGGCAAGTTTTGGAAGAGTGATTTCAGCAAGGACTGTTTGCTTGTTTCGTTTGGTCTCAAGCAAGTCTATAGGAATCTACAAATTAAACTTAGCATTTATATGATTTCGGGATATGTTTCGGAAAGAAGCCAATTTTGGCATTTTCTATGTCATGAGGCAACGGACGCAGAGTGGTGTACATGGAGGTTGCCATCATTGAGATCAACCCTACCTCGAATCAACATCCCTGACGCCACCCCCCCAGACATGTGTCCTAGAAGATCAAACATTGTCAAACCCTTTGCTCAAGACCACTTTTGGCTCAAAAATCGCGACGGTGTTTATTTGGGCTGAGATCAGGCTGAGATCACCAAGGACAATGGACGTGATGATGAAGGAGATCCATCATACATGGAGTACAACAGAGCGCTGATAATAAGTTCCTCTCCACAAGTTAACGACATGATAGGGCCAAAGCAGTTTGGGGAGGGAAATCTCGAATTTCTGTGGGCACTACCCTCTCAACAAGACCTGTAGAATTCCATGTCATTCCTTCTGAAAATCTGACATGTCCTTCAAATATCCCCCAAACTGGACATTTTGTGGAAGATTTCGATGAAGACTTCTAATCTTGGCAACCTGCACTCTTGACGAAGATATGTTGCACCACCTCAATCTCCTCGTCCGGCCCATCAAAGCAGCTCACAGGTGGATCGAGATGACGACAAAGCAGATTTGGGAGACTCCAACTACGATGAGTTCAGCGGATACTCTGGGCCTGGCCGTTCAGCGGATACTCTGTCACCAACAAAGACCAGAGCCTCCCCCAAACGAACCCCTTTTTCATTTTTTTTGTCGCTGGCCTTGGTTGCGCTTTCCATACATCACATGTGGTGAGAATAGGAGATCACCAAACCGACAGATAGTTCAACCAGGCCTACAGGGGTCAACAAAGAGCTTATTGGAGTGCAGAATATGTGTTTGAGCCAGTGATTGCCTTGTTTGCTTTGGAGTGTTTTTGAGGTCATGAATTAGATTGTTTTCGCGGCAGTTGGGAGGTTGCCTTGGGAAGTCGTGGGGCCATCTCATTTAGAGTTGGTGGTTGAAAGGAAGATGAGGACACCTTACAGGTAACATGTAGTAACTTGTCTTACTGGACTTCCTGGCAACGATATCACAATGATGTGTTAAGTCCGGAGACTTTTCAAGGTCGAGCATTCCGGCGTTCCTCGAGAAACATGCAATTGGTTCCGAAGGCATGTTTGGACTCCTTTCAGACGTTGACGGTTTGCAATTCTCCAATAGTAAGCATGTGAACAGAATCTAACTATAAAGGTGTATTTATACTGGGAAATCTCTCACCAACCGATGCCATTGTTGCAAGTTGCCATTGATTTGTTTTCGATAAGTCTTGAACAGCACCGGGCCAAACCTTGATCTACTGTCCAAAACTTAAACTCAGTTCTTGTCTTGGGAGACTTGCCTGGTTGGGTTTCTGGATTCACCTTTGGGCCGAGCGCTCACAGAGCACTCACAGAGGCATTGTTCCCTTTGTGCCGCGGCATTGTCAGAGGCACAGTTTTAAGCCACCGTGAAACAACAAAGCCTGTCCAGTGCACTTTCAAGAGACTTAAAGCTTTTGATGCCAGGACATTCCCCAACATAGCAGCGCAAGTTCTCCTTGGGCCAAGCCACATAGGGCCTGGATGTTTCTTTGCGTAGTAGGGTAGTTCCAATTTTGTCTCAACAAAAATTAGGGGCGCGAGAAAACATGCTTATGTGTGGCCCATCAGCCCATGGAAAGCTGACCCGTGCAGATCTCTCCCTACCATTTATCCCACACCATCCACTCACTCCCACCTGTTCCCAAGCAGAGTAGCCCCACCTTCAGCCACTCCTCGCTGCCTCGACCGGGCGCGCCATGGGCCTTCCGTCGGAGCGCCATGGGGAATGCGGGAACTCGCGACGCGGCCGCCCTGGGCCCTGGAAGCGGCCTGAGCTTCAGCCTCGACGGGACTGAGCTTCGGGCCTTGTGCGGAGGGTCGTTAAGATTGAAGCTTTTGGACCTGCTAACGGTGACAGCCGAGTAGCCGGCCAGGTGGATTTGGTCAAGACCCGACCAGTCAAAAAGGATTAGGAATAAACATGTGGCAGTTGTTTGTTCTCAGTTTATGACTACAGCCACATTTGCCTTGCAGTTGGGGGATACAGATACATGTGCCATTTCTTGGTGAACGCATCCACAGCGGCAGGACACCCTGTGTGGCGATGGTCACTGCGATTTGCAGAGTGTCCTGGCATCCGGGTTGTAGTGCAGTGACCAGGGAGGGTAGCAACCCACAGTTTGTGTGCTGTGGCTTGCACAGCTTGTGCTGAGGAGGAGGCAGATCCGTGGTATGGAGTGCCTCACTATTTGCGCAACTTGGCGTCGGCCTGTGTGAACTGAGGAGAGACGATGTCAAGACATGAGGTCGTTTGTGGAATGTTCTTGGAGGATTGATGTTCCTTCATCTCAAAGGATTCCAACACTGGCTTTCCCATATTTAGAGTTTCTCTCAGTGAGAAGCATCATCACGTTCCATGGTTTGGGGTCAGGGGCCATACTAAACTACCGAAGTACTTGGAGTTCTTGTCTTGGCCAGCAACACGCTCGGCCAACGGATGATGAGGCTACATCAATGAGAGTGGGCAATGTGCACGCGAATGGGTCTTCTTGGATGTGGGCAACAAGACCTTGACCATCAGGCGTGTTCTCACCTGTGAGAACGAAAGCCAGAGGTATACGGTAGAAACGACCCACCCCGTATCGTTTGCCCTTCTCGAGAAACGACATGTTTCTGTTTGTGATGAGACCCTAAGAAACTGTTCCTTTTCTCTGAGGCATTTCCTGCCTTCAGTTGGGTTCTAGGGTGCTTTAGTGAAACCTTCCAGATCGGTCAGCCCACCTGGACTGAATGAAGACACAGTTCTCAATATAGATCCGGTTCATTGACGTTTTTGACTCACTTGATTTGGCCATACATTTACAGTATCTGGAAGGACTCAAGATTTGAATACACAATGTAGCCGATATGTAACCAATGTAGCCAGCTCCACGGACCTGCAGCTTGTCTTGGCACTCACCATGCCTAGCAAAACAACTCAATGGCAAACAACACAGACTTTGTTTGAAGCAGTGTGCGCAGCTTCGTTTGTTCTGGCCAATATATTGATTGATCCCATTGATGATGGTTTGAGTTGATGTTGATATACGTACAATACACATATATATATATATACCAACACCCTCCAACAGGTCACCAATTGAGACCTCTTACTTGTAGGGTCTAACAACCCTCCAAAGCAGACCTGTTGGAGGGTGCTGGTATACATATGATATAAATCATGTAAATACATGAAAATACGATATGACTTACAGATCGGAGTCCAGTTGCAACTGCAGCAATCCAACCCTTGTTGTTTGGTTCCAAAGGTCATAATCTTAAACCAATTCAGACTGAACAATTGGCCTGCGAATGAATAATCTATTTGACCCACTTCAGAATGGTCTCGGGCGGCCACTCAACGCCACCAGCCGCTCTTCTCCAGGGGCACGCGTCGGCGTATCCCCTTCGAGTTGGCGCAGACGGGCCTTTGGTGTTGGGGCAGCCTAGCCGGTTCTCAGGGGAAGTCATCCAAGTGACACAACCTCCAAGCCGTTTGTCGAAGCCGAAGCATATTCCAAGCCGAGCTCACGAGTCGAGACACTTCGAAGGGGTCAGTGATGGCCAAGTACTTGGCGCTTCTTAGAGCGACCAGGCAGGAGTTGGCTTGAAACCGTTTAAATAAAGGGTTACGCGTCATCACGCGTTTCTAATAGCGTTTGAGTGTCTATAGCCGTCTCCTTGCCGCTTGCCCTTGGTGAAATAAGAAGCCAATCCAAACAGGCAGGACGAACTCTGGTGGCCCAGCTGAGGCCGGGATGTGTGCATTCCAACGATGGCATGGACGACCAAATTGACCCATGGCAGTGGTTGTGGTCGTCCGTGGTAGTGGTTATTTGTGTTGATTTGATCTTCTAGGCCTCTCAGGACAAAAGAACACATTTCTCAGGTTGAGTCTGAGATAAATGTGGTGGATGTTTCTCGGTTTCGTCGTAGAATTTAGAGGGGGGATGAGGGCCGAGGTCATGAGAGCAATGAGAGCGGCTCCTGTGGGGGTCAGGGGGCAGAGCTGGGAGGTTTCACAAAATTTGACTGTTGCACCGGAAATCACAAACCCATGCAATTCGGCAAACTGGTGTCATATTGTCAACCTTTATAACTATGAGCAAATCTGAATTATTCAGATTCAAGCACAGTCGACTCCGATGAGTTGTGCCGCTTTCCAAACAATGTTTGTAGTCGCAAGGATGGCAAATGGAGGGCGAGCTCCTCGAGTGTAGTTTTTGTTGCCAGTCACTGTCCAAGAAGTTAGAGGTCATTTATGTCATACATGGTCCATGGCTCCTTTCTGATGTACGACCCGTCCGCCCAGTATGATGTTCCACGGCATGTGCGTTCCAGGTTGGAGCATGTGCGTTCATCCAGACGGCTTTGTGCCGCTGGCCTCAAGAGAGTGCAGGCTTTGGTGTCGTGCATGTCGCAGAATGTTGGAGATACAAGAGGCATCAAAAGGTCAAGGGCACAACTGGCACTCTTAGCCCAGGTCTTTTGCTGAGCGATTAGCTACCTAATGCCAGGCCATAATCTAACTAAGCCTTCAGACCAGTGTTCGTTTGACTGGACTTTTCCTGGGTAATGGACTCGACAACCCAAGGCCAACTGCTGCGTTTGGAGGAGTCACCTTGTCAAAACCCATGGCACTGAAGCTGCAACTGTCGATAGACAGCTTATGGGCTTGGTCCCAATTAACAGTTATTTAACTTAACCGTTTATTCAACAATATTCTAGTCGCGCATGCATTCGTTGCTGCATCTAAATACTTAATACGTGTTTTCAAACTGGAAAATGCACACGACTTCTCTTACACAATATGTGGGACATCATGAGACAAACAAAACGCCCGTGGAAGCCCGACGTTCAGAAGTTGGAGACACTCCAGCCAGAGCGTTTTTCCATTGTCATACAAAGTCATACTGCAATCCGACACACGAGACTCGGTCATTGGTCGACTGTTTTTCCCAGTGTTTAATTCCTGGGCCAACCTCCCAAATCTGTGACCAATGCCCAAGTCCTGCATGCTTTGTGGTGTTCTGTACACCCCGCCGAGGACTTTCTGGAGGCCGAGTGGCCCAACTTGGGACTGCCAAGGAACGCACAAATTCTGGCACCTCGGCGGACGGGGTAGTGAGCGCCGGAACGCGAGTCACGCGGTGGACACGACAAGTCGGCTCATGAGCTGCAAAGCCGGTGGGAAAAGGAGAACGAACAGGAATGATAAAACCATGTGAAACCCCGGCATTAAACCATTCGAGGCAAGTAGAGTTGGTTTCTCGTGGTTGGGTTCCAAGAATGTGGATGAGCTTGCGACATAGACACAAGAGCTCACTCAATGCCTGCAGAAACTGTGCATTTGAACGTCATCCAATGGTCCTTGTTGAACGCATGTTTGTCGAGAGTGAAATCGCTTTTGCCCTGGGGCATGTCAGTCCTTAGCCCACAGCAGCCCCAGAACACAAAAGGGGAGGGAATAGCCATGGCAGGCATGCGCAGGACAATCATCTTGACTGAAGTTAATCAGGATGACTGCGACAACCATCATTCAATGGCACTGGAGAGGCAGATAGTCATAGTAT